GAGATACCAATTAGGAATCCCCAGACACTTCTATCTAAAATTAAACCTCCAACCTCAACAAGTAATCCTACATATTAATTGCCTATTAGTTTCCAGAGTTTCCATCATATATATACACTTCCTGCAAAACCCCAAAAGAAAAAAAAATGGAAAAGAAAAAAAGAAAAGAAAAAAGAATTAGCAAAAGTAAAAAGCAGTAGAAAAGAAGCAAAAACAACGGAGAAATGACTTTAAAATTTTATGGCTTCTCCAGAATAATTGATCTCATTAGAAGGCTCCAATTACTGTATATTATTATGAGAAACAAAAAAGAAATACAACTTCAACCGTGCATTTTTAAAAATAAATTCTTATGTTCACATTCATGCCTATTTTTGTATGTTATATGTTAAAATATATGTTCTTTGCTATTGTAAAGAAAACCAGGCAGTTTTTAAAAGAATACAGTTAGGGATATTTTTAGATGGCATATAATCCAAAATTATTCCCAATTTTATTTAATTAAAATCCTCACATTCTCTTAGAAAATAATAGCCCCATGTAGTCTTAGAAAAAGTGCTTGTATCTTTCTAAATATAATTTTCACAGTTTTAAGGTTCTGCTCGCCCTTTTTAAAGATGTATTGATAGTATTTACCTTTATAGCTTGTTTTATTTTAATCACTTAAAATATCACTTAGTGTTTTAAAATTATAAATCCTTTTATTATTCATAATCTAATATGAATTATTCATAACACTCTTGGACCAGAAAGGAATGTCCCTTATCAAATGATATGCTATGTCAACTAACGTCCTCCATTAAATTGCCATGATAACTAAGGCAGCCAGATCTACATCTGGCTAAAAAGTAAAGTGCATCCCAGCTAGGTTCCTAAGATAAAAAGTATCCCATTGACCTATAGTGGTGGACTCCAGCTTTTCTGGCTTGGTAGACAGTTGGAGGTGGGGTGGGGGAGAGGGAATGATTTTGTGCACATTCGCTGCTTTCACATATGCAGCTGCATGCGCGCGCGCACACACACACACACAAAACAGCCCAGTTCTGACTAGGCTGCAGGTTCTTGATTTTAATTCAAAGCATTCTTATAGAAATACAGTAGTTATTTCTTCAAAGCAATCATGACAAGCTTACAAATCTTTTGCAAAAGAAACATTCATAAACCTTCACAATCATGTATTAAATAATTACATACTGCAGTGCATGTGTGTGTGTGTGTACACACACACGCACACATTGCAGAGTGAGGTGGTCTATTTAATTTTTTCTGGATTTCCCTGAAACAGGAATACTAACTCTTCATGACATAGCTAAAGATAAAAATATCTCATATTCCTTCCATTTTCTTGGTTTTCAGTATTACAAAACAAAAGATAATGCTGTTTAAAATAGCTTTAATGTTTAAGGGTATAATTCAGGATACATTTCCAGAGAACTCAATAACCATTAGATTAATATATTTTGTACTAGAAAGTTGAATGAGTACAGTGGAAGTGCCTGAAAGATCTCACCCCACCTTGTGTTTTGCTTTGTTAGTTAATAATGAAAACCAAGGAATTGGAAGGAATATAATGAGAGAATTTTTTTGCCATTATATAAAAATTTTCACTGGGGAAAACTTTTGTCTTCTGCTTCTATTCGTGAATCTGTTTCCTGGTTATCTTTAATCATTCATTTTGCCATTTCAGAAAACATGTGTTACAATGAGGTGTGCTTCTGAAACTTGAAAAACAATTTTAGGATTTGTAAACCTTTTCCCAAAGAGGTAATCCTTCCATGCAAGACATTATAGTATACAGACCACAAACCTAGAAGCTTTGCATTAGTTTTTCATTTATAGTTCATTTATAATTTTTCATTTATTTATAAAGACATGTGGGAATATTACAATAGATCCTGTTGTCATTAAATTATGGAAATGTGGAATTGGGAAGGCAAATTAAGAGTGAAAAAATAACATGTAAAAAGTAAGTTATTTGCAGTACAGATAGATCACAATTAATGCAAGTTAATTGTAAATAATGAAATATTATACTCAGTGCAATTTGTGCAATGATGCCAAGTCACATTTAATGTGAACCAAAATTTAGTTTAAGGCAAGACTAGGACATGCACAATTGAAGTTACCAAGCTGCCACTGGGGTGTTTTAGTTTTTTGTAATTACTTTGTATAAATTAGAAAAAGCAATGTCAGAAATAGTATTTTAGCTTTCCTTTGTAATGCTACATGAAGAAAGAGCTGTCTCATAGAATATCTAGAATTATATTATTGGTATGTTAGTTGCAGCTTAATATCAATATTTATATCTGAACCAGAAGGGATAAAGTTGACATACATTTGATAATTGCCATAAGTAAAAATGAGAAAGACTAATATTTACAGTGCAACCTCTTAGTGTGTATATTAAAGATTTCCAACTAAATTCCAAATATATCAAATTGGAAAGACTTTTAGTAACAATATTCTTTCTAGATGTTAAAGATACGCTGGGTAATCCTTCTTTCCTCTACAGTAAAAGAAATAAAACAAATGTACATGTATGATATTAACATTCTGCCCTCAGTCTCATCAAATTAAATCAACCGTAATTGCATATTATAGTGAACGTATTATTTGCAATTGTCGAATCTCTTGTTTAAGTTAAAAATGAGCTGGAATTATGGTTGTAAATCATGGTAGTTGTTAAAATGGATCACCATGTAATTATACACAATTTTGCAACATTTTTTGCAGATATGGTGGCCATAAGCGAAGCTGATTTCACCAATGGGCATTTTTTGCTAGAAATTGGAAGTAAATGCTGGAAATTGGCAAAAAAAATGTTGAAAATCTTGACCTCATAACTACAGGACAATACAAATATGAGGCAGATGTCAATTGTCCAAAATGTGCTTATGTAACTGTAGGGCATCAAATCTGGATTTCTTGGATTCAATACCAGCATTGAATCTCTGATTATCAGAGTCCAGATGTGATAGGGGGACATGACATCAGAATGGATGACTGGTGTATGGTCCATGAGTGTACTGGAATCCAGGAAGAGACTGAGGTCAACAACACAAATGTTACAAAGATACTATGAAAGAAACCTAGTGCCACTATGACATCCACAGCCCAGAAATCTAGAAGCCGCAGCTCCTCTGCTATGAAAGCCTTACCAACTTTGGAGATAGAGACAAAAATATAACTAATAGAAAACCATGAGAGATGTCCAACTGTGCTAGGTTCTGCACTTGTAGAGCCACCTCCATGTTCAAAGATAAATTTCATTAACAATTCTTTGAACCTGAAGGACTACCATGAATATACTTTACCTATACTTTAAATTTGGCTACCACAGATGCATTTTCTGCAGTTTCTCCAAATTTGCATTGAATTCAAGATTGTTCAGAACATGGATTAATTTGTTAGTAAATATATTAAAGAAACTGAAAATTAAAACTGCTGCTTTTAACTTTCTAATGATTGTTGAACCTTGAAAAATAGTTTTGGCCTTCAATAAACATATACACATCTTAAGGGATGGGCTGCTTTTCTCCTACCATCCCACCATTTTTAAAAGAAAAAGTGTGGCTGTGTTTTCTAGGGGTTTGGGATTAAGCCTAAGTCAGCTTTTGATGGGGGGTGGGAAGGTGAAGATGGGTCTGAGCATTTACTAAAAGTATATTAATCCTAGAAGATAAATGTTCTTATTTTAAGGGTTTTAAAAAAATTATAAAAGAAAAAACAAAAACTACAAAAACTATATTTTAGAACAATTTAATCAACATTATTTTCAGGGAAAGATCTAAGCATTGCAGGAAGGAAGGAAAGAGCTTTCATGGAGCCTATGAGCTGTCCATTTTGTCAATTCTGAATTGCACTTGGAATGTGCCCAAAACCTGTATAAAGATATTGCAAATCATGTGTAGTTCCTAAACCAACCCATTAAACCCATTACGCCTAGAATTGTTGGTCATTATAATTGTCTTACTGACTACTATTAAACTGTGTAGTTTTTTAAAGCTTGATGATGAATATTAATTATTAATTCGGAAAAAATATTTAGCCAAATAATTATTTCTATAAACAGAAATAGAATATAGAATATTTAATTCAAAACCAAAAGCTTCTCCAAAATAAAGACATGCATATGAGGATATCCTATACTACATTCAAGCAGTCCAACTTCTGGTTAAATATATTATTGTAGCAGTAGTAGTAACAGGAGGAGGAGCAAGAGAAGTATTTGGACAAGAATGCAGTCAGCAGATATAGCAATAATACAAAAAACTTTGTCCATTTTGTTAAAATGTGCTGGTAGTCCTCAACTTATGATCATCATTGAGCTCAAAATTTCCATAGCTAAGCAAGGCAGTTATTAAATGAGTTGAGATCTATTTTATGATTATAATTTTTTTGCCAAAACTGTTAAGCAAATCATTGCAGTTATCCAATGACTCATGTGGTCTCTGAATCTTGCTTCCCCCACTGATTTTGCTTGTCAGAAGCCAGTAGGGAAGGTTACAAATGGTGATCACATGACCCTGGGACATGGCAACTGTCAGAATTCCTACCAGTTGCCAGCTACGCAAATTTTGACAACATGACCACAGGGAGGGGTCAATGGTCATAATTGTAAAAATACGATCGTATGTCGTGTTTTTCAGTGCCATTGTAATTTACTAAACAAATGGTTGTAAGTCGAGGACTAACTATAGTATGTAATCTATGTATGTTATAAAAACACAAATGGCCACAGAAGTACACATTTTCATATACAGCTGAAAAATATCATTGAGCATGTGGATTTCTACTCTGCTATAAAAACTGCATCTGTCAATGGTACAGTTCTGTAATTCTCCCCATCTATTCTGCAAGGCTATGAAACCTTCCATGGGGAGACAAGAGGATTGAAAAGTGAAATGAAAAGTCCCGCTGTTTGAGCAATTTTCTCACATAATGTTGGATCTCTCCCATTAAAAATAAATGTGTGACAATTTAGCCAAATATTTACTTACTGACTGTTCATTTAAATCCTGAGTATCTTCCATGGAGGTTACTCACTTTTCTTCCACAAAGAGAAGCAACTGAGAAGTAACTGGATGTCCTAATTTTAAAAAACAACAAGACAAAGTATTACTTCGTTTCTGCAGTTGTATATATAAATATATACAAATATAAATATATACAACTACATATTAGAAACTAGGTTCTATTCTTACACATTCATTTGTTCATAGCTGAAAGAAAACCATCATTTTAAGTACAGCAACTAGTGCCATTTATGTTCAAAACAGATCTATATAATTCATTGAAAATAGAACTGACATCAATAGTAGAATGTTCACATTTTATTTTATTTTTTTCATTTTCAGCCATATTGTCCTTCAAATCATTGTTTGTTGATGGAAATAGAAAACTGTATCAAATTTTTCAAAATTTATCTGCATTTACAACTTTTGGTGGCAACTCCACACGAAATGTAAATCAAATTCCAGTTTTCATATGCAAATTCATTCTAGAATCAATCAGCAAAAGCATTAGCTAAGAATCAGAATTAAATAAGCTTAAGATTTGATGAATCCATATCTAAACTTAGAAAAAGTTATAGAAATATCCAATACAACATTTTAAATTTGTGATCCAGATCTCAGAAATATAAGTTAGCAGTTTCATTTAAAAGAATTACTTGCATTGTTTAATGTTTGTATCTAAAAAGGAAGATAGTCCACTTTAATACCCAATTCATGAAAGCAAGATGAGAATGACACTTCAGTTAATTAGAATATAACTTCATGCTACATGGTAAGTAACACATTCCATCTTTCCTGCAATAACTTGCTAAGTAGTACCTTTTATTACAACATGGAATAATTCCTCATTAAATCATTTTTAAGTTTATACATGAAATTTTAGTCTCTTAGAGATATAATAGCAGCAATAGCAGTAGACTTATATACCGCTTCATAGGGCTTTCAGCATATCGCCCCCCCCAACAATCTGGGTCCTCATTTTACCCACCTCGGAAGGATGGAAGGCTGAGTCAACCCTGAGCCGGTGAGATTTGAACCGCTGAACTGCTGATCTAGCAGTAGCCTGCAGTGCTGCATTTAACCACTGCGCCACCTCGGCTCTTGATGGGGTTATTGTTGATATATTTGTATACTGCTTTATTCCAAAATGACTCCATGCAGTTTATAATAAAATAAACATATTCACTAACAATTACACAAACCTCTCAACATGGAAATAACTATTTTCATGATGGCTTGAAGCATAATTAAGCTTGATCATAGGACTTCTGAAAAAGTACAGTTTTTACTGCTTTTTTGAAGAATAGGTTACTTCAAAGGATTTTAAAACCCAGGGAAAGTCATAATATGGTTATAAGTTGCATCTATTTTCATGAAACATGCCTAAAGACAATAGAGCTGCTCCCCATAGCAGGCCTTAGTCAACAAAGCATTCAATCTAGCATTCTAAATTGGCTGAAATTTCAATACCATGTAGAAAACATTAAAATAGGCCAAATGATTGTCAGGTTTGAGAAATTCGGAATTATGTACAATTGACAGAGACGGCATAGTTCTGCAAATACAATCATGTTTTCAAAATTGGAAATTTAAAATAGAAAGGTTCTTGTATATTTAAATAAAGTTTATTTTTATCGGCATACTAAAGGCATTGAACTCTAAAACTGAAAAAGCCATCTAGTGAAGTCTTGCCATCCTTTTTTCACCACTTCAGGTGAGCAGCCTGAAGCCATAGTATCAAAAACAAGATCAGTCCCATTCTTTGAAATCACTTACCTTTATATGCATCAAGTTGTTCCCAAGAATCTAGTATGTTATAATAAATTGGCATAGTATATGTCTGGATACATGCTGTGACCTTTTGCAATTAACAGATGGAATTTGATTGATGTGAAGAGTTTCTAAGTGCCATCCAAGATGTTTTGGTATGGCACCAAGTCTCATGTATTTCCCAAACATTTTTCTGGAACAATTAACGATAGGTGCTTTCCCCTCCATTTTTATGACAAAAGCTGATAAGCTCAAGACCAAGAATGATGCCAGATTGAAAGCAATCATAGTTCCCCATGCCATCAAGACTAATCAAAATTTAAAGCAGAACTTTGAAACTACTACAAAAATGATCAATAATGCAGGAGGCACCTGCAAGATGGGATAAAAAGTCAAGACGGCAGCTTTAACTGAAGTCTTGCTTCTTTTTATGTGCACCACACATTTAACATATTTTTTTTTAAAGTCAGGGCTTTGACTATGTGTTCATGGCCACTGTGTTTTGTTGACTGCCTGGAGTATCCCCTGCAATATACAGCAATATTTAGGACAGATGGGAAACAAACTCTTTTTAGGATATGATTGCCCTGGATTTTATGAGCAAAAACATTTAGGAATTCAAAAATTCTAAAAAAGGTAGTAATATCTTTTATTACTGATACAACTTGACTTGGTTACCAAGTCTTGGTTACCAAGTCAAGTTACAAGATACATTTCATGTTAAAAAAATATTGAAACAGAAGATTGATCATTTTTATGCCAGTTATAAATCAATTTTCTAACTTTTAAAAAATATTTTCAACAGTTTATAGACCATTTAGTGTGAAGATAGACATCTGTCATCTGTAGATGTAATTTAAAGTTAAAGTATTTTATGTTTAAAGAGTCCCCCCCAAATTGTTTTATGTTATTGAAGAAAATATACTTTCTATATTAACACATTTAATACACTTTTACAAAACTCTTTTACAACACTCTAATTTTTATACCAGATGTCAACTAATATGTTCATAAATAATAATTTATATTGTCACTTGACATCTGGTATAAAAATGTATCAAAGTCTTTGAAACTTAAACCATTGTACCATACCTAAGCTAAAGTACATATGACTCAAATAATTTTGCATACTTCTTTTGCTTACTGAAAGTCTCTTTTTTTCTCTAGTTCCCAGACACCTTTTATTTTATATGTGTGAGTGTGTGTATCTGAATTGTGAATATATTCCCCTATTTTTTAAAGGATGTTATATAGTTAATGAGCTTAACAATTGCTCCTATTGTATTGACAGTATTTTCATCTTCTGATGCCCCAGGTTTCACTACCTTTCTTCTGTCTTTACTATCCAACAGATAATGATTATTTAACAGGCAAAACCAGAAGTGGGGCTACTCTCAATTTATGCTTTTATACTTTCCCCTTAATCAATATGGGCAGAACTACTCCAAGTAACAGTGGTACAATCATTATAAGATCTGACTGCTAACATTACACAGCAAGCAAAAATATCAGCAGGAATAGAGACAGCGATCAGGAGAAGGAAACACTACGAAGCCATTAACTTTTGCTGTTCAGACAATGATGTAATCTAATTAAAGATTCTAAGATGTAAAATATCCATAGTACTTAAACAACATGTCAACTAAAATTGCCAAGTATCAAAGATAAGGAAAGTGACAAATATGATTTTCTGAATGCTATAGAGCTCTAAAATAACAATTACAATTTGAAAGGTCAGAGATACAGGCCAGGAAAAGTTCCAATACAACGACATTTGACAATTTTATCTCAGATTTTCAGATGAAGTTTGTAAAAAAAATCTTTAAAGCTGATCAGACTTTAACTGGATATTATTTTGTTGCCTAATACACAGATATTTCCAACATCTTGTGCCTTTCACGTGTTGTTTCACTAAGTCAGCAGTCCCCTATCTTTTTGGCACCAGGGAATGATTTCATGGGAAACAATTTTTCCACAAACCAGGTGGTTAGATGTCACGCATGTGCAGATGAAGCTTCACTTGCTTGCGCAGCTCAGTTCCTAACAGGCTGCAGACCAGGACCAGTCCATGGTCCAGGATTGGGAATCCAAACACTAAGTGATTTTATTTATTTTAGATCAATAGAAAAATATTATCGGAATGGTAAAAATAATTTACATAACTGTATTGTGGCAAATGTAATTGATACATACAGAATAGACAACAATTCCTCTTTTAGTTTATTCGGAGAGCTAATTTTGCCATAAGAATTTAGAAATCAAGCAATAGTCATAATAAAATTTAAGCAACCTTAAGAAAGTACCTTCCACATAGAATATATATCCACTCAATTAATTTAGGAGGTCTTCACTGAAGTCAATCCAAATACTTGAGATGATGTAGTGCTTCAGTGACTAAACACTGGATATAAAAAGAGTGCTGTGCAAAATGACTATTAGCCCCCAATTATTTGCATAACAAATGTGAAAATCACCCAACACTAATGATAAAAAAGTATTAGGTTTAATTTGTTAAAGGGTGATCATTTTAAAATTAAGTGTGAACCATTCCAAAACAACTCATCACACAATGTTTCCACTGGAACCTTGTCACTTTGCTTACAAACAACATTCATTTATAAGAACATGTTTAATTGTCCTACAGTTAAAAAAGAACAAGACATATGACAAAAACCTGAAATTTAACAATACAGCCCCATTTCAGCTTAACTATATTCACATAAAATGATCCAATATACACAAATAAATCATAAACAGGCATAGATCTGCAAGCAATTTATATATTGTTAGCAGTATTATAAAATTAATAAGCATGTGTAGTATACAATTTTCTGATATTGTTACTTGCTTGATAAATTAAAGTAATAAATGTATAATGACCATACCATATGTATCTTCTATAAATACATGGTTGTTATTTTCCTAATGTATGAAATATCCCAATATTATTTTTACATCCCCTAACTCATAGATAGTACAGTAGTGTGTGTGGACACACACACCTTTACAATTTACTGTACGCATATACACACAAGCACTTGTAAGAGCTACTTCCTCAAATGTTCACATACTTCATCAGTTCACATCACTATATTGTAAATTAAAAACAACTATGCTTCAGTATGAGAGTAATGAAATTCTATCTTTGCAACTGACATAAAAGTTGATATATGATTCTGAAGTCATAGGAGTGCATAGCCTTTCAAATTAGTACATTTGTACCTACTGTACAGAATATTGTGTTCATGTGCATACATACGTACATACAGTACATAGTTTTTAGCATACTGTATGTGGACAAAAT